AATGCTCCTCTCTGATCTCAGCCTCAAGCTCCTCTATATGATGATTCAATGTTATAGAGGACTCCCTTTAAATAATAAAAGATCAGCCCTAAAGTTTCCTTTTTCATATAGAAGACATACATAAAAATTCTGTCAAATAAGGACTTCAAAATTCGTACAGACTTCCAGGCCAATTTTGACAAGGTAACCAGTTGTTTTATAGAATCCTCGTGAAATACAAAATTGTAACTCTTCGAATTTCCTTTCAACCTTCGTGGAAATTTAGTTGTTTTGACACTCTAGGAGAGAGAGACAACTAGATTACCAAAACGGGTTCAAGTTACCAACTTCGACGAAAGTTTCCTTTTTGGAAAAGGAGTTTTCCTTTTCTTCTTCTTTCCATTCTCATCAATTGGTGGCTTCTTTTAGAATATTTTCTAAGTGTAATTAGACTTGGATCTTCAACATTACTCGGTCCCACGGAATGTCATCTGTTAAAGTTCAAAATCACTGGTCTTGATTAATTTTATAATTAAAGTCCTGAAATAAATAAAAACAAAAAACAATTTAAAATCACAAATAAACCGTTATTAAGAGAATAAAACATACAAGTAAAGGGGCTAAAATGTATAACATTCAGCGCCTAACAAAGAGAGATTTTTGGCAAAAATAAATAAATAAATAAATAAATAAAGCTTACACTACTACTTGGACCATCATGAGCATGGCCATTATTATTCTTGTATGGCTTCACTCCCTCTTTATGGTGCTTACAATTATAATTCTCTTGGAATTCAGGTTCACTCTATGGTCCATAAGCCTCCTTAGGTGTACTAGGTAGTTATTATTATTATTATTATTATTATTATTATTATTATTATTTACTGTCCAACCTTAGGTATTAAATTATAATAAATCTAGAAAAGGACACAGTTAACTAAAATGATATATTCCTTTAGTTCCAAGTGCACGAGGTGTGTCTCATGTCTTTTAAGCCTCCCAAGTGAGCCTTTGAGAACTGCATTTTTTTTTGTTCTTTTCATAAGAAATGTAGAATTAGGTAGAAGAAGGTTTATGCAAGTGGGGAAAAGGATATCACCTCCTGACTCTCTGGACTACTACAATAAATAAGAAAATGATAAAATTGGGAGAAATAAATGTGTAAGCAACCAATTCTCCGTAAGATTTGTGAAAGAGCACCAGAAGTCTTGCAAGTTGGTGGGGGTTTTTCGTTTGGGTTAAGAATTTGGTCTCAGAACACGCAATATCAGATCTCAATTGGAGTATATGCGTCCTGTTAGATGTTGGGTCCTTTACTTCTTTACATGGGTTCACTTAGGCCCTGATAACGATTGTTTTGTTTTGTTTTTTTTTGTTTTTTTTGTCTTTGTAGGTTTTGGGTAAATCAATCAATTTATTCATAGAAGAAGGAAAACAATACAAGGCTGCACAAAAAAGGCAGCCCAAAAACAAGCAACACTACAACGGCACTAAGGCCCAAACAAAAGCCCATAGGCAAAAGGAACCTCCATACAAGAACAGAGGACACCAAAACACAGGAGCACAAGCAAGACGCAGAACTCACTCAGTAGCACTATTGCTATCAATGACCACACTCGATAGTCTCCAATCAGCAGCTACACTCCGAGAGGTCCTGGAGTCTTTGAATCTCAGGGAGAGAAGACAATTACGAATGCTGCCTTCAATGAGCTTCCAAACAGCAAGAGGAGATGAAGATTTTCCAGCATAGGTACGCTTGTTTCTTTCTTTCCAAATGAAATAAATAGCAGTAGCAAAGCCCTAGCTGTTATCGCATCCTTAGCATTACACTTACCATTCCATACATTGTTAATCCATCTGGCAATGAATGTAAGGCTACGCTCACCACAGTAGAATCCACAAGTATGTTGAACCATATCCCAAATAAAAGATGAGAAGCTGCACTTAAAGAACAAATGCTCATGAGTCTCATTCTCACTCATACATAGAAGAGATAAGTTAGAATCTCCCCTTTGACCTGTGAAGAACCCGTCTTTAGTATAAAGTCTGGTGTGAAGAGCAAGCCAAGTGACAAAGGCATGTCTTGGAATGTGTTTGGAAAACCATATAATGGTGGTCCAATTAGACAAAGGGGCAGGAGGCAGAAGTGCATTATAAGCATGCTTCAGACTAAACTTACCTGTAGGAGACAAAGTCCATACAACCCTGTCCATACTATTAGCATTGATAGCTGGTGGATCCACAACCAAGTTAATAAGATTCCTGAATAGAGGAGGTAATCTCCACTCGCCTTGTCTGATAAAACCCTTAACCTTAGAGTTTAGACCCCACATAGAATTGTTCATAACCTCATTACCAACACTAAGGTTGAGAGGGCCAGAAGGCAACCAATAGTCAAACCACATAATTGTTTTTTTTGCTTTTGTTTTTTTTTTTTTTTTTTTTTTTTTTTTTTTTTTTTGTGGATATGATTTTAAGGATTGGAATATGGTATAGGTTACTCAAGTTGATAGAAATCTCGTTTGATACCTTTGAGAGAAATCTCATTGAATGCGTATTCAGCATTTTAAGGCTTCTAACTATAATTCTTAGAAGATAAAGCTGTGACATTGTTTGATGTTGCTCTTGTAATGGATTGTGCATATTCTGTTCAAAAAATTCACTGTCAAACTTTGTAGACAAGTATGATTTCTTTCCTTCCTTGGGTAAGTATATGCAAGAATTTTTGGGAGAGGAAAAGTGACATGGCGATCCTGCTGAAATCTGGTTTTGATCTTTTTCGAGAGCAGAGTTTCAGCCAAATCTAGTGGATATTTAGAAGAGGAAATTGCTGCATGATAAATTTGTATATTTTAAATTGTTAAATTTGATGGAGTTCAATTTTTCTGATGCTGCAAGCTCCAATATATATTTGTAAAGCATCATATAGGCTACACTTATATCCATGTAGGGACTCCAGAGCTACCAACATTGTGCTAGTGGCATTCCCTTATTTCTCTATTGTACCAGAAAAAATGGGATTTATTGTTGCTCTAATACATGGCTGTGTAGAAGTATCAGGTTTTTTGGTTGCATGTTAGAGGAGTTGTCACTACGACCATAATTTCAGAAGATAAAATTTCCCAGATTCATTGCAGCCAGCTGCTGAAAAAGAAAATGCAATTTGGATTTATAGGAACATCATATATTATCAAAGTGCAAAAAGTTGAGTGTTACTTGCTATACATTCTTGGCTTGTTTAGCTCCTTTTTCAAAAAGGATTATGAAGTCATACTGAGGGAGGTTTCACCAGAATAGTCTTATGCTGATGGATATATTTATTTTGATCGAGAATGAAAAAATAAGGACTCGTAAGGAGAAAAACTGTTACAATGGTAATAATAGAAAAGATTCAAAATGAATGATCAATCTGAAGAAGAGCATGAGGTCTCAATGACTTGAATTGACTGGATTTGTTGAAAAGAAACGTGAAGGCGCAACAATAAGTCTAAATGACATTATTAGTGCAAAATGTGCATATTACAGAACTTGGCAAATATTTAGGTGTGAGGAATGTTCTGAAAGGTGTATGATTAAAAAGGGAGCTCAAAGAGCATGGTGAGGTTAGATTGAGCACATGATTTGTATCATAATTTTTGGTAGTAAGAGGCAAAGGATTTAATGAAGACATACAAACTTTGAAGAGGGTAAAAAGCATCATGGGTAATGATAAATTCTTTGAATGGGAGAATCAAAGAATTATTGGGATGGAAGATGTAAGGTTTCTTACATAAATTACATAGTAAAACAATGTAGGTAATTTATGGACTTGCTATATATATATATATATATTTGATAATTAAGTAGATTTGCCCCCTTTTTTTTTTTTTTTTTTTTTTTGTTTTTTCGAGGATAGAAGTCATTAATATTTTAGAAGATTAGTGCAATTTAATTAGACAACTTACCAATAAAAGTAAAAAAAAAATAATAATAAATAGGAATGAAATAGGAAACAAAACAAATCATGGAATTCCCTTTGAGGTGCGGAAATGTATAAGCTTTAATGATCACGCAGTCTGGTTAACTGAACCTTTAGGTGTTTTCTGCAAGCAATAAAATGTGAAAATGCTAAATAATTGGAGAGGAACCGTGTGAATAGATATTTATATGCATCATATGGTGTGCTTCCATGAATGCTCAAAAGGAGGCGCCGTTAAAAATTATATGCATTTTCACATTCCAGCCCAAGTTTCTTGATGACAAGGGGGATGGTGGGGTGGTACGTTGAAGAATAGATTTTGGATGTTAATGGAGCATTCAGGATGCCATGTTGTCAGTTCAAACCAAAACAATAGTAGTTTCTATTTTATTACTTGCACTGTGTGTAATTTAACGGGGTTATCTTATTGGTCAGGGTAACTCTAGAAGCTTGTATTGGTTAAAGGAAGTTTAGTAGTTGGTTAGCTGTAGTGGGTTTTTTTTTACTTACCTGCTTGGATATTAAATTGTGAAATTATCATTTCTGAATGAGGAATGTCTTTTAGTTGGTAAAAAGTTTTGTTGAGTTGAATTGAATGAGTCGTCTTTTGTAACAGGCAACTATTTTAGGGTAACTAACTTTTTGACCTTGCTTGGATGTGTTCTTTTTGTTTGAAACAGATCTACCCATTTCTTTATTTTCTTGACAATAAAGTACCAGCTTTCTAGCTGGAGTCATTCTCCTGCTCCACCATATGGGGGGACGTTGAAGTTTGGATCATGGGTGCCGTGCCTGTCTAATTCTTGTTGAGAAAAAAAGAAAAGAAAAAGAAGCATTCTCCTTGAAATTTTTTTATCCATCCATTCATACAGATATAGAATATTTTTAATTTAGTAATATTTACTTGTTTCTAAATTGTTGCCTTCATGGTTGGCATCATAACTCTGTGAAGGATGTCATTTATTTTTTGGAAAGTTTGAGGTTATAGTTTGAGGTTATTTCCTGGTATTCCAGTCTTTTCTTACTTGTGGTCACTGTTTTGAGACTGCTGCCGATGGATTCTGTAATTTCTCACGCACAAGAGACCCTTAGGACACTTGTTTTTCAACGTTCAACATTTGGGGGCATCAATTCGAAGCTTAGCAATGTCAGCAGCCGCCTTCCAACGGTACAGTAACAAATCCCATGGGTGTATTTGTATATATTATATTTTCTGGTAAATATATTTATAATATATATTTTGTGTATACTATAATGATACAATTTCAATATTAGTAACATTTGAAGGCATAAAAATACCTTGTAATGGAGTTGTCTCCAGATTGAAGTAAATTTACGTATAAAATACTGTACGTGAGATCATTCAAAGAATTTGTTAGGAAGACAAAGTATCATTGTAAATGATGCATATACAAAGTGGAATTATTTATATTTATACTATTTCCAACAGCCATTTGCAATCCACCCTTTGCCAAGGGACACCTTTGACGTCACTGCTTAATTGTATCTGTGAGTTTTATTGATACTCATCTGATTTTAAATTTGCAGGTAAACCATATACTCTCATCAACAAAGAAGAAAAAGTCTATGGATACCATCATCCTTTCTTTAGTTGCCTCAGTTTGCACATTTCTCATTTTGATTTATTGGTTGACCAAATAGAAATTATTGCGGTTTTCTTGTGGGAGCCTCACGGCATGTTCTTTCCTCCATTGTATTTTATGTAAATACCGTGTCGGTTTGTTAATAAATTTTGGCATTCTTCATGTTTATGGTACATTAGACAGCATTTTATGCACCCTGCCTCTGTAGTACAAGTTAATGCTTCCAGCTTGGTAGAATTATTACAGTTAAAAACATCAACATTATTGAATGTTCTGTTCTCTTCCCATTTCCTTCACTTACGAGAAAAATATACGTTTGACAGGCTATTTTATTTTATTTTTTTTCCCATTGTTGACAGCTGATGAATTACTGAGAATTTGTTTGAATGTTGTGTAGTATTCCATTTTAGCAATGGTAGATTGATGAAACATCCCATAAGAGTTTGAATACCACCACCTTCTCTGCTGTCACCATCATTTACTTTCTCTTGACCCACTTCAGTATGATTGCGAAACATTGTGCGCGTGTATGTTGACAGACGTTGATAAGATTCTGCCAATCTCACAATTAATCTTTTCCAGATCTTGTATTTAACTATTTACATAATCAATGTTGGAGTTCTTGAAAATTTTTGCTAATATTAACTTTCTTGATTCTTCACCATTGCAGCTGTTACATTCTTGCTAAATTATGATTCATTTTTGACAACTTTTCCTGATTTTAGAGACGCCATTTGACAAATTATGTTGGAAGCGAATGCGATCTCAATTTTAATTGCTTAACTATACAAAAAAAAAAAATTCTAATTTAGTTGACAATCCTTACTCGTCATATTAGTTGCGTTAGAAGTTTTGTCTTTTGACCCAAAAGGTTAAACTGTTGGGTGCATCATCTGGATCTAATATGGGACAACAATCATTCTCCAGCTCAAACTAGCATTGCCCTTATTGGATCGGACCACCTCGCTTACCCATTCATCGTGGGAGGACTCAATAATGACTAGTACATCACCCTAGTGGCTGGATCCTGTGTAATATTTAATTGAGGACTGACCTTTACCACTTGTAACCGATTAAAAATTTGCCATCCAAAATATTGGGTGAGATGTTGCCTAACCACTCCTATAAATCCTCGACCTTCTGAATTTTTTATTTTTTATTATTAATTTTTTTAGGGCTTGTTAAGATAGTTTAATTAGTGTTTTCCTCTGAGGAGTTCATCCTCTTCGGTACACTTTCATTCTGAGGTGTATCAGGAAGGGTTGAGAATGTGATCAACTCAACAGTGGATCCCACTTGCTAATCTCATTTCCTTCTATTACGACAAAGGTAGCGAATCAAGCAACTGTCACAAAATACGACAGAAAAATAAACACCACACAAAGAACACAAAGATTTGTACATGGTTCGACAAAGCTTATTTTCACGGTGGAGATTTAGTGAAAGTCTTTACTATGGGTAAAATCGTAGATTATAAGTTTTAGCCCCCAGTTAATTTTGTATGAATTTCAATGACTCTCTTACCACCCATGACAAACCCTAAACGTCCTTATATATTGGGTTATAAGGGAGTATTAATTAGAGTCCATGACTCATGAGCTTTGTATAGGCTTGAACCCATACAAAGCTCAACAAACAAGTTTGTTTGGTCGTAAGAGGGTCGCACATCCGGCCACAACTAGGGGTGGCAATTTGTGTTCGTAGGTCATAATCGTGTCATGTTGTGTCGATGTAAATACTAAATAGGTAAATCCAAACCCGACTCATTTAATAATTGTGTCAAGAACCCTGAATACTAACACAACTTATTTATTTAATGGGTAAACGTGTTAGCCAGTTTAATGACCTTATCAAAATGAGACATTTAATATTTAATCAAATAATAAATAATAGAAAAAATTTGTCACAATTAACCCAAATATTCAAAATAAGAAGAAAAATTATAAGGTGTAGATAAGATTTATGTTGAAATGACTTAACTATCCATAATAACTGGGTTTAAACAGGTAATATATTACATAGGTTATATTTACGATTATAACATGTTGAGTTAAATGGGTTATAAATGGGTTACACAAGTTGAACCCCACTATTCTAACCCGACACAGTTAAGTAAATGGGTTAATCGTGTTAACCCGTTTATGACCCAAACCCGTTTAAGGTCAACCCAAACCCGCTTATCTCGTATCATGTTCGAGTTGTGTTAGCGGGTCGTATCGTAATTTGCCAACCCTAGCCACAACATTACACCTTCCTTTTTAGTGGGGGTGGATTATGAACTCAAGTTGATTTTAGAAACATGGAAATGGTTATAATTTAATGTTAATATGTTTTTATTTGATTCAAGTTGGTTTAGAAGTAGTTTTTCCTTATAATTGAAGTTGTAACCATGGTTGTTAAAATCGCGATTCTGACTTGTAGAATCATGCGATTTTGCGATCCAACATGCCCAAATTGATCCGAATTGCAGAAAAATCGTGGCTTGTGCAGAATCGTGAGTTGAATCGCTGAGATCGTACGTAGAATCGTGGAATCATACGATTCTATACGATCCCAACGATTCCGAATTATCCATGATTGTGGTCTTGTTTTGGGTTTAAGAGTTGTGAAGAAACCCTAAATCGATTACCACAGTGCAAAAATTCCTTCTCTTTCGCGGCCTCCAGCACAACTCCGAGAAGAGATAAGATGCAGAGGGCAAAAAGAATGCTAGGGTTTTGGTGAAGAAGAAGCAGAGGAGGAGGAAAGAGGAAACAAGAGGCTAAGAGAGCTTACCTGAAAAAGACTAGAGGAGCTGCTGCCGCCGCCGGGAATTGCAACAGGGGAATTTTGTCTGCCGCTGGGGAATTTCGCTCTCTTCAGATGGCAAGTTGACCTAGGTCAGACTTGCCTAAAAAAGATTGGTCTTGGCCCATATACTTTTCTTGTGTTCTATTTGTTCTATTGTACAGCTGGGCCAAATGGGCGTTGCAAACTTTAAGTTTTTGAAGCCCAAAGTAATATTTACATTTACATAAAATTTGTCTTACATTCCAAAAACTGAATAAATAAATTAAATTTTAGAAGAATTTGTTATAAATTGTAAATTTTATATGAACTTATATATATATATATATATATATATATATATATATATATATATATTTGTGTTTGTGGCGAAGAGATGGCAAGTTGACCTAGGTCAGACTTGCCTAAAAAAGATTGGTCTTGGGCCATATACTTTTCTTGTGCTCTATTTGTTCTATTGTACAGCTGGGCCATATGGGCGTTGCAAACTTTAAGTTTTTGAAGCCCAAAGTAATATTTACATTTACATAAAATTTGTCTTGCATGCCAAAAACTGAATAAATAAATTAAATTTTAAAAGAATTTGTTATAAATTGAAAATTTTATATGAACTTATATATGTGTGTGTGTGTGTATTTGTGTTTTTGGCTCATTTTTTATTTATTTTGAAGATAATTTTTGTTGAAAAAGTTAGTTTGAGTTATATTTTTATTAATTTGGTGGAATCTTAAGATTTACGATCCGATTCTACGATTTCGATTTTACGGAATCCAAAACAATTCTAGGTAGAATTCCGATTTTAACAATCTTGCTTGTAACAGTGTTCAATTATACTGCAATCTTTAGCTTACAATATGATGATTGAGGATTTCACTGATCAACTTGGAATTATTTATTCATTTTTTTGTTGCTCAAATCTTGTAGAGAATCAGAAGATAACAGAGAAATTAATTGCCTGTTGCTTCAGTGATAGTTTACTGCTTTCCATCTGAATCAGTTGCCATATATAGTAAAGAAGTATAAGTAAAAATCACTGAAGTTCCGTGATAAGAGAAGATGGTATTTTTTAGGAACTACTCGAGTGAAACAGTTTCACAGTCTGTCCTGGATGAGAAGGGCCAGGAGCAAAGTACAGATAGAGTTCACAGCATGGTAGAAAATGATTATGTAGATGCGACTTCGAGCAATAAAGATCTTGAAAGGAGGACAGAAGCGCAGTATCAAAGTGATGGCAAACCGGACGATGCTGTTAGGTTGCAAGATGAGGCTGCCACAGATAATGGTATGATGCCGAATTTGCCGCCTTTTAAAAGACTTAAGAGATCTCAGATCTTAAATAGAGAGATACGCACCAATTCGACTGGATAAGCAAAGTCACAATGAAATCATTTGAGCGGTGCTTTCATTACATAAAGCAAATGCAAATACAAATATAAGTCAACTTTATTTATATATTGAATTACAACACAGTGCTAATTAAAATCCATGACTCGTGAACCCACACAAAGCCCAACAAACGAGTTCGTTTGGTTGCAAGTGGATTGCACGTCCGACCACAACATTACACCTTCCTTTTTAGTGGGGTGAATTATGAACTCAAGTTAATTTTAGAAACATGGAATTGTTCAAAAGACATAAGAGATCTCAGATCTTAAATGGAGAGATACGCACCAATTCGACTAGACAAGCAAAGTCACAGTGGAATCATTTTGGGGGTGCTTTCATTACATAAAGTGAATGAAAATACAAATATAAGTCAACTTTACTTATATATTGAGTTACAAGACAATACTAATTAAAATTCACGACTCGTGAAATCATACAAAACCGAACAAATGAGTTCGTTTATTTGTAAGTGGGTCGTACATCCAACCACAACATTACACCTTCCTTTTTAGTGGGGGTGGATTATAAACACAAGTTGATTATAGAAACATAAAATTGTTCAAAAAACATAAGAGATTTCAGATCTTAAACAGAGAGATACGCACCAATACTGGACAAACAAAATCACAATGAAATCATTGGGGGGTGCTTTCATTACATAAAGTGAACGCAAATACAAAAACAAGTCAACTACTATGCCCATTTCTTTCTTTTCAAGCCTTTTTGAAACAAGTTGGATAACGGTCATTTTTTTTTTTGAAAGATAATCCACTTCAGCTTTCCTATTTGCTTGTCGGCAATTTGTCTTATTGTTTAATTTGTTTTATTGAAACTTGTACCAAAAGTACTTCCCTTTATTTATTTATTTATTTATTTTGACACTACATGCTATATTAAAAATTCAAAGTCCTCAATATTTAACCAATACAATCACCACATCATTTCGTAAATCCGATTAGTTGAATTTTTATTTTTATTTCTATCAAGTA